TGTTTTGCAAGAACATTTGTCAGCATTTTTCTGAACCATCAGCTTTTTTATTATCAACTTACCTTCCCCCTGCTCTTTTCTGATTTGTTTCTTCTCTCAGTGGATGACGTCCAAGTGTCCTGCTATCGCATCCTGACCAGCCTCTATGCACTGGGCACTGGGAAAAACATCTATGTAGAGAGGTATCCTTAGCGTAAATCTGGTGTTGATTAATTGGTAAAGACGCGCACTTTACGTTTACGGACTCTCTTTGTGTCCCACAGGCAGTTGCCAGCTCTCGGTCAGTGTCTGGCGACTCTGGCTGGGGCGATGCCTGTCGCCTTCCTGGAGCCGCTGCTCAACACGTACAACCCGTGCTCCGTCTTTAATACCAAGAGTGCCAGAGAACGAGCCAGTGAGTCATTTTTAATTATTTCATTATAAAAGCGTTTATTTAACCAAAGGACTTTCTCAAAAAATATGCCAAGAGGTGCATCATTTATTGATGTGAGAAATGGTTGGAGTCACTCGTCAGCCCGCCCTGTGGTGTTCTAGTTCTAGGAATACCCGACTCAGTGGAGGAGGTGTGTCCCGGGATGCCGCGGCTGGACGGCCTGATGAAGGACATCAACGACATGGCTGAGTCCGGAGCGCGCTACACAGAAATGCCCCATGTGATCGAGGTGGTGCTGCCCATGCTGTGCAACTATCTGTCCTACTGGTGGGAGAGGGGTCCTGAAAACCAGCCAGCCAGCGGAGGAAGCATCTGCTGCACCACCGTCACCTCAGAGCACCTCAGCCTCATCCTTGGCAACATCCTCAAGATACTCAACAACAACCTGGGCATCGACGAGGCCTCTTGGATGAAGAGAATTGCAGGTAGGATGCGGCTCAGTACAGTGCAGCTCAGTAAGAAGTGAAGATCAGTGCAGAGTGAACAGATGTATTCGTCAAACTGCCTAATTTTCGTTCAAGCAAATCGTAGCAAACCAATACGTTAAACTAAGATGACCCAGGTAAACATTATGTCTGCAAAACGTCAACATAAAAGCACCGTGATACCTATATACAGCTCCCAGAAATGGTGTTTGAAATTGAAATCTAGAATTGGTAAATGCAGCAGCAACTGTTCAAAGAGGGAAATTAGCAAATGTCCTGAAAACATTCATAGTTGAAGAAGTTGTGTTTGGAAAAAAAGCTTGAAAACTGGTCATCATTCATAAGAAATATTTGCTGAAGTGCACAAGATCATTTTAAATTAAATCAAGCAGCTATGATAAAACAGCATTTTCTGTCTCTGTTCAGTTTACGTCCAACCCATCATCAGCAAGGCCCGTGCAGACCTGCTGAAGAGCCACTTCCTCCCCACGCTAGAGAAACTGAAGAAGAAGACGGTGAAAGTGGTGGCCGAGGAGGAGCTTCTCAAGGCGGACAGCAAAGGAGACACCCAGGAGGCCGAGCTGCTCATCCTGGATGAGTTTGCCGTTCTCTGCAGGGACCTGTACGCCTTTTACCCCATGCTCATCCGTTACGTGGACAACAACAGGTTAGCTCGGTTTTAAGAGTATTTAAAGAAGATGCGGGGGATGCTGATGTTTGCAGAAAATGCACAGCAGGTGTATTAATCTCTCTCTGTTGCTGCTGCAGGTCCAGGTGGCTGAAAGAACCAGATTCTGACTCCAATGAGCTTTTTAAAATGGTTGCAGAGATATTTATCCTGTGGTGCAAGTCACATGTAAGTACTGCAGGATCATTTTTTTTTTCACAATGATAATAATAAAACCTTTATTTATGTAGTGCCTTTAGAAGCAAGTGACAAAATACACTTCATAGAACCCAGAGCCAAAGT